ACACAGCTAGACCACCTACATCTCCCAGCTGATGGAGATGGTGAGACCACTCCAACCTCAGAAGCCACATGCTGCTGACGACAGAGCCTCATCAGTGTGGGTCCCTGTTGACTGTGTGAGGAGCAGCAGGCCCACTAACCAGAACACACACAGTTAGCTGAGACAGGAGAAAGATTCTGCTGCATTGAATCACTACACTTGGGCCTATTTGTTACGGCAGGTTAGCCTACCCCTATACACTATGTATCCCAAGTCTTCAGAGCAATGGGTCTCAGCCAGAGGCAATTCTGCCCCTCCAGGGATACCTGGCAAAGTCCAGAGACATTTTTGGTTGTCATGAGTGGGGAAGGTGGTGCTTCTATTGGCATCTAGTGGGTAGGGGCTGGGTTTTCTGCTGACCATCCTACAATGTACATAACTATCCTCCACAACGAAGAATTATTCAATCCCAAATGTGCATGGTGCTGCCACTTTAAAACCCTGCTCTAAGAGCCTAAGAGCTTTGGAAGATGACCCAAATCTTTGAATTCTCTGCTACACTCTGAGAGATTTGTGATAACAGTGTGGACTAGAAGTAGGAGACATGGTCTGTGAGTGAAACATGGGTTCTGCTTCCAGCTCTACCACTGACAATTGTGTGACCTACAACAAGTTAATTCGCCCTCTGTACATTTGCTATTCTTGTGCTAAAACAGTAAAATTATAACAGTGCCCACATGTGGGGCTCTGAGTGAGGATGCAAGTGCTTAATCCAGTGCCTGATGTGTGCTACACACTCAAGTAGTAGTGGCTCTTAATATTATGCTTTTTCACGTTTTTGTTGTTATTAAAGCACAATTCTAGAAAATCTAGAAGTGGTAGTAGCTATGCAGGATATTTACAGTTGTTGGGATCCAAGAGGTGATGTGAGTCACCAACCTCAGGTGTTGCACTGGTACCACTCGCCGTCTTCCAAGCTTGCAGGAGAGTCTGACCAATGTATGTGTTGTAAGTAACTTTCTTTAATTTTGACTCAAAGACTGGTCCTGCGTTAAGATTTGGCTGTAAGAATGTGTATGGAATTGAGTAACCTCAACTGCCATCAGTCATCAAACACACATGAGTTCTCACGAGCAGCCAACAGCTCCTTCTGCAGAGCAGCTCTGCAGACCTCCACTCGCTTGGCTTTCATTGAATGCTGCTCACCTTGAGCTACTTTCATTGCTCGTTAGCAATCAGTCAGAAGGTATTAACAGAACATTTGAACTGGGCAAATCCATTAGGCTTGGAGAGAGGTAAAAGGCTGGCCCCTGCCCTCCTTCCCACAGGAGGTTGCAACAAGTAGGAGAGGCTGCCACTCAAAACCACTGTGTCCCACCTTTTCGATTTTTGTCATTGTTGAGTGACAAGAGATGAGAGAGAGACGAGATAGAGAAGAAGGGGGACAACAACAACTACAACAACAACAAAAAGAAATGAAAACAAATAGCAAGATTTGGGGATTACACGCAGTGATTAGATGTGCTATTTGAGGGATGGTTTCTACATAAGCATAAAACTATTTAACAGGTTTACTTCTAACACTATAGATCTTAAAATGGTTTTAAGAAAGATCCCATTCATCCATTATGATAAAAGCCCTTAGAGAGAACAACAAATAGAGACATTCAAATTCAAGTGCTCAAATGCCACATAAAGAAAAGGTATATTATATTGTGCTAAGTACCACAGTGCAAGTTCTTTATTAAATCCACCCACATAACAAGCCTTCATTAAAGATGATCCCTGCCAAGTCCTACACTCTAGCACTGAACACACATTTCTCTCAGCATTCAAGAACTTTAGTCTCCATGAACTTTATAAAAAGTGTCAGTGTAATAAATGTTGTTTAACCTGGAGGGAAAGTATTGAGTGAGGACATCTGCAAGAAATAAGACAACACAATCTACAGCAAGTCACCTATTGCCAACAGCCTTCTCCCTCAGCTCAGGACCATTCTCTTCTTGGCAAGTGTCCTAAGCAGCTATGGCTGGTCCAGGGAAGGCCCACACAGAATCAGTCCTTTACAGCAAAGGGAGAGAGTGGCAGGGACAGGAACTGCCCCTTCCACCCTCAACGATCTTGTCTCCAACAGGATCCAAGCTCATCAGAAACCACCTCAAATCCACAGTGTTGTTCTTGAGGGAGGGATAGCCTGGGACAGAAGCCAACTCAGATTCCATTCCATCATGCTTTGGTCACCTTGTGAGACTAAGAGCTAAGTCTCTAGGCAGAGTAAACAGTGGAGTCGCGGCACAGACTCCCAAGGCAGGGTCCCTGGGTTTCCTTTATCATTTTGCGTGAACGCAGGAGAAGGCCTGCTTCCCAGGGTAAGAGAGTTCCCGCTCCAAAGCACTGGGTACCTCCCTACAAACAGCAGCCTCTTCTCTCAGGTCCCGCAGTGAGCGGAATAGTTTTCAAGGCATTTCACTTCACGGTGTGTGAAAAGCATCTTTCTCTCTTTCACTTACCCTGACACTGTCTATCCCATCACACCATAAACGAAGAGTACGTGTACACTAACACGCAAGAGCTGAGGGGGGGTGAGGGAAGGGGGAGGAGCAGCACCCAGCTCCCAGCTCCCAGCTGGGGGCCGCCCTCTACGTTTGGGTTACTTCCCCCCAACTCCCTTCCCTCGAAACACCCTTCTTCCTCCTCTTTCCTGTTCCACCTTCAATTTTCAGTGGATTCACTAGAAATAATCTACCCGCATTCAAAAGAATAATGTTGGAATCAGTCGTTTAAATTTTTTTGCTCATTAAATTTCTACTGTAGTGAATTGACTCATCTTTTTCTGAAAGTCCTTAGGTAAGACGGTACAGTTACTCTCAACTAGCAAGTTTAAAGGAGGCTGGTGATGGTGATAATCTCTATTTATTAATTGTTTACCATGTGCCAGGCACTGTTGTAAGGGTTTGTTTTTTATGTATATGTTTTTAATTTTTCAATTACAGTTGACATACATCATTATATTAGTTTCAGGGGCACACCTCAGTGATTAGACATTACATAACTTACTAAGTGATCACCCTGATAAATCTCACACCCGTCTGACTTATAAGAGCTTTAAATATATTATCTAATCTAATTCCCATAATAATAACCCTATGAGGCAGGTACTGTTTATTAGTCTCATTTCACAGTTGATGAAATGTAGGCACAGATTTACAGTCTAATTAAGCAGTCAGCATATTCTGGCCTTTGGGTCAAATCCGGCCCTAAAGTTTTGCTGGAACTTCCACGCCCATTCATTGCCATAGAGTCTATGGCTGCTTCCGAGCTACCGTGGCTGAGCTGAGCGGTTGTGACAGATTGCAGGGCCCAGAAAGCCTAAAATGTTTATCATCTGGCTCTTTATAGAAAATGTCCACAAACCCCTCAGGTAAAACATTGGATAAAGAAAAGAGGCAAGACATTTGGACAGCTTAAAATAGAATTTTTACTGAAACCTTCTTAGCAAATATTCTGCCTTATCACTTCTTTTCATCACCAAAAAAGGATTTATTTGGGAAGAAGAAAGGACTGCTACCTGGAGCCAGCAGACACAGCAGCCTATGCACCAGTTCTCTTGATCTGTTTTCTTTCACTCACACTTTACCTTATTTCCTCTCACCTGAGAGGCATCAGCCAGCCCAGAAAAAGTGAGAATGTCCACGGAATACCAACCAGTTCAGTAACTGAAGGCTCCTCTCTCAGTAGAGCAAGCTTTGATTGGGTGGAAAAGTTTCCAAGAAAGAAAGAGAAAGGACAAACCAAGAAAGCTTTGACAACCATAAATTTCCTAAGAGGTTGTAAAGTTCTGGCAGTTTCACAGGTATTTCTTCTCAAGTACAAATGACCTCATTGTTGAAATTAAAAACCAATTGGACCGGCTTATTTGACATTTGGTATCGTATATTGTTTTGGTTGAGCATCAATTGATTTTTCTACTTTTACTGGGAACTTATGTCATAACTATTTTTAGTAGACAGTGTCTGGTTCTATTATTTGTGGAACTCAATACACAATCATGCCTTAGATTTTTTTTTTTTGCTAAAGCTATAAGAATGTATGTATTTGGTAGAAAATATTCTCATCAGTAAATGTTCTATATTCTGAGACATCTTAGATTAAAAGTCTGAAACAGAAAGTAGGCACTGACAAATGAAAGAATTTGATATTACTGGGCAGCAAAGTGGGTGTAACTTTATAATATAAATGTGCCTTTGAAATATTAATATTTTTATCATTGACTGAATGAGCAATTCTTAATCCCTAACAACCTATCTATAAATCAAAGTCAAATTAAGTATTGAATTTCCAGAGTGTGAAAGCTGGCACATAAGCTGTCAAATAATTTATGCAGAATTGTTTACTATGAAAGTGAACAGAAATTCCCGAGACAAGACAAAGCCCACCGTTTTTGTTTACCCTTCACCACATTCTGCCAAATGCCAACTGATACAAAGATCAGCACAAAACAGCAATTCCCGGGCTTGTCTGCATGTTAGAGTCATGTGGGATCTTCCACAATCCCACCACCCAGTCACACCCCAGGCCCATGAAGTGACAGTTTTTGGAGGTAGGACACAGGTGCCAGTATTTTTGGAAGCTCCCAGGTACTGGCAGACAGTTTTGCTTAAGGTGAGGACAGCCTGGTGGGCTCAGTCCGGGGCTGCCTGACACCTGCAGTTCAGGAGCCCTGAGGTTCTACTCCATCCTGGGTCGGCTCCAGTACCTGCCAGGCACTCAGATCTTCCGCGTAGGTGTTAACACAACACACTGGTGAACCTACTGGCATCATCAATTCATTACCGCAGATAGTAAGAGGATTCTAACATAAGTAGTACAGGCCTAGGGTTTCTCTTAAGTAATAATCTGTTTAATTGTTCACCCACTTCTGCACCTCAGGTGACCACACGCCCCCACCCCCAGCTTTGCTCTTTATTCTGCAAACATATTTATCCTGAATGACAAGCTTAAAAAAAAAAAGTTCGCCTTACCTCTACGATGCTTTTTAAATCTTGCACGTAAGTCCTTTCGGTCTCCAGGATTTCCTGAACAACTCTATCCACGTAGAGGAGCTTGGGGCTGTTGGCCACCTCCGCACTTGTTTCGGGGGCCCCGTGCGCCTCCGCTCTCCGCTGGGTCCGGGGCTGCCTCTCACTGCCGGCGTCTGTGCTCTGCTGCCCGGCTAGGCGCTCCCTCTGCAGCTCGCTGCTGGAGAACGGCCTGGCTGGGATCAGCTCCAGTTTTATGGCCCCCGCTTCCTTATCCTGGGGAAACAGGCCCAAGTGGCTGTTGGAAACTAAAGTCACTCGGCTGCCGAAGGAGCCATGGCTGTCCCGGGAAGAAGCGGAGGATGATGTGGAGCCGAAGCTGACGGGGCGGTCGCTGTCCGAGAGCTCCATGGTCTTCGGTTCTTGGGACTGGGAATACTTGGCTATAGTCTTGGGGTCTGGATCTTCAGTTACAGCTAATGGCACTTCAAGACGCAACTGGTGGACATCTGGATACATTAAAAGAAAAAGAAAGGAGGACAAGATAAGAAAGGTAAGTGTTTTTAAATGATATTCAACAGAGATGCAGAGGGAGTTAAAACCCAGCCCACATATACAGTCAGAAGCAAAGAGGCAGCAAGTTAGTCATAAAGGACACGCAAAGGCACCGCAGTGAGTTAGAGTTTCTAAAGCACCACCTGGGCCCGTGCTAGAAATGCAGAGTCTCGGGCACCACCCAGACCTGCCCAGCTTCAGTCTGCATTTTGACAAGATCCTGGTGCCACCTGCACACGCATTAAGGTTTGAGAGGCACTACAGCCATTGCCTCAAAACGTGACCACCTGGAATGACTAACAGGTGCTGATGGGTGCCAATTTTCCACATTAAAAACTCTGTTCAGGGCATAAGGAATCTACAGCTTCAACAAGCTTCCCAGGTGATGCTCGTGTCCTTACAACGTGCCCTGTGTGATTCCCGTGGTGTCTGGGAAACACCTCTCCGTTCTGGGTAACCCACCTTTATGCCACACACTTTTAAGCCTCCATTCTGGGACCACTGCTCCTTGACTTGGCGGATGCTGACAATTTTACACTTCACCACTATACAGCATGAGAGACAGTGTTGCCTGGGTAATATTTTTCTCATCCCAGGCAAGAGAAACCCCAATATGAAAACCCACACCCCCTTTCAACCTTGCCCTCTCACTACGATATGTCTGCACGCTGACGTTCCATTTGTGACGTGTAACATGGGGTTACACGATTCCAGACTATATTTGCCACAGTTTTTTTAAGCTTTTGCAATATTCTTTCTGTGTGCCCTATAACAACTTTATGGCCTGTAAAACACGGGCTGGTTATAGCAGTTAAAATGCACTTGCCCTAAACTGCGTGCTCCAACTTGAGTGTGGCAAAAATCCAAGAAGCAGACAGGCACTGAGGTACACTTGCCGCAGAGGATGCCTGCCCACATTTGGGACTGGTGCTAGGAAAGTCGTGGGCAGGTCTAAGGAGGAGCAGACACAGCAAGCTTTTCTTCCTATTGGCATCCACCAAAACCATAATCATGAGGTTATCTCGCTTTCACAACTGGGTATTTACTTGGAAAGTATATGAGGATTCTCCAAGGTCCCCAGGGTCGAATGAGGCTATGAGTTAGGACCAGATGTAGGTTGGGTACAGTGTACCTGAAAGCTGGGGCCCCTGGGAGACTCTCCATCAACCTCCCCGCCATAGGTCTGGGTACCCTGGTCTCCAAGGCAAGTTCTGGTTTTCTGACTAAACTAGAATCAACCTTCTCTCCAGTATGGAAAACTGTATTTAAGAGTAATACAACTCTTGGCAAACATTCATTATCAGGAGTGGTGAGAAAAAGAACACAATAGAGACTTTTTTTTTTTTAACTTACTTTCACTCTAAATTAGCCTGCCAATATTGGGCCCAAGGGATGAAAGAGGAACAAAAAAAGGGACCAATGATTTTAGAGGCATCCACATTGGGCTGCTAGGGATGCCAGTGCCCTTTACACCTTCAAAGGTAGGGCAACGTGGGATGGGAGATGGGTCAACAGGGGATTGCTTTGTGGATGAGTCAAACAGCAACATGGACCGGGCCCTGTTCCAAAGAAGCATCAGATGTTACAATACCAGGCCATGTACAGCTGACCCCTGAACTACACAGGTTGGAGCTGCGCGGGTCTGCTTATATGTGGGCATCATTTAGTAAATACCTGTATGGTTTTTTATCAAGAGTCTGCGAATACAGAGGGCCAACCGCATGCATCGATCTGTGCATCTTATAAGGAGACTTGAGCATCTGTGGACGTCAGTGTCTGCAGGGGGGGTCTGGAACCAATCCCCTGCAGATACTGAGGGACAACTGATGTTCCGGGGGAGTTAAAGGTTACATGCAGATTTTTGACTGGGCTGGGGTCAGTGCCTCTAACCCCCACATTGTTCAAAGGTCAACAGTATCCAGGCCCCTGGACTGAGGTGCCTGTTCTTTAGACTGCCAACCAGGTACTTTATAAAACAGAATATTGGAGGTATCTGATAGCCGTAGTATTTAGCCGAACTTACTGCCCCAAATTCAATACCTTCCAAAATTACCAATATAACAGAAGTGAAGCATTTAAAGCTAGGTTGTATAATGGCATGTAATATGAGGCTACATTTGCTAATGGATATCATTTATCATGTTAATTCATTGCTTAGAAGATAATTATAGTTTTCTCACGTAAAGAAATATACCTCATAAAAACTGTCTAGTCTTGTTCTCATCTCCCTCAAAATAATTTAGGATTCCTACCCTGTCTGGCCCGTTCTTTTTAATGCAATTCACCAATTTTTAGTATTTATTTCTGGAGCTGCACTGGTCAGCACGGCAGCCTGTGGCCACATGTGTCCCCTGGGCACTCGACATGCAAACAGTCTGAACTGCAAGGTGCTGTGAGTGTAAAATTGACACCAGATTTCAAAGACTTAGTGTGCAACAAAGTATAAAGTACCTCACCAGTAATTTTTATATTAATTACATGTTGCAATAATACTTTGGGATCGTGGGTTAAATAAAATATCTCCTTAACGTTCTTTTTACTGGTTGCATTTTACTCTTTTTTAACTTGGCTCCTAGAAAATGACAAATTACATATGTGGCCTTTGTTACATTTCAGTTGGGCAAACCGATCCAGATATTCTAGATAATTCTATGATTCTGTAAGATTCACATTTACTTCCTTATCAATCTTTGTTTAAATAATAGTGAATGGAGAGGTGCATATAATTCCGTTGGCCCTTTTTGAAAGCTCCATTCATTAGTGCACAGCATTGTTACCAACTGACGGAAAGAGAGCTGGGAGTCGATCCCTGCAGACTGGATTCGGGGGTAACTGATTTCCCGTGATAAACTGAAACATGAGCTAGGAAACCGCAGCGCAGGGAAGCTGCTCCCTCTTGGTTGAGTGGAAGATGCTGGCGGGCTGTATGAACATTTGGATAATGTGACGCTTTGCTTTCCTTTGCTTTTCATAGCCTCTCTCCCTTTCTTACCAAACCCCACACACCGGGCTAATTATACGGCATCTTCTGTAAACTCACCAAACATTGCTAATGGCCCATGTCAGCAGCTGTGTTGACCACGAACATCCTAAAATGACCTAGTTCTGCCCACCCCGAGGATCTTGGTCCTTCTGACCCTTGGTAAATCTGTAGATGTTGTTGGCGATACCTAGGAAGCAGAGGCCCCTCAGAGTCCTAATGATTCTTACAATGAGATGTGCCATTAGCCTAAAAGCCATCTCATTAAAATATTCCTTCTTGCGCCATTTTCAATTTACAAGAAACGGTTACACAGCTCCGATGTAGAAACACTTTCACACATTTCACTTCATGACAAGTCCCTCTCTCTGTTTCTCAGTGAAAGAGCTTTGAATTCCTTGGCTTGTCTTTGTTCTTCCAACTTCCATTATTTTAATTGCTTTCCTTTGGAATGGCGTGGCCAGAACCCGAAGCTGCTCTCCTTGGCTCTAGCTGGTCTCCCAGGCTGACTTAGGGTTGAAGCAGAATGTTCCATGGCTAGTGCAGCCCAAGCTGCTCGTGACTGTGCTCACATGTTGAGGAGGGACTGATGGATCTGCAGCCGACCCCTCCTGTTGCAACTCCCAAGGACACCTTTGCAAGGCGAGTCAGAGCCTGGGGCACAGCGGCTGCCAGTGAGGAGTTGTCAGAACTGCCCCATTCTGCTCAGTGCTATCCTGGACCACAAATACCTAACTGAGTTCCTTGTCGGGACAATCAGGAAAATCCAGAGAATGTATTGTGCGCAAGGCCAACGAATAACTGAAATTATGCAGCTCCCTGTTATCCTGCCTGCCAATTGCTTAAAGAGGGAAGACACCAGAGAGACTAAAATATAAGCAAGAAGTGACCTTATCAGCAGCGAAGTTCATGTTTTGCACAGCCAGCCCTTGGCAGAGCCTGAAGATACAGACAACCAACTTCATGATTAAAAGACAGACAGACAGACCCAAACATCTTTTAAGAGTCAAAATTATAAGAAATATAGACATGCATATATTTCAAAGACAACCCCAGGTATTTGAGGAGAGAGTTCCTCTCCCACACGTCTGGGGGATGGTAGAGAGCACAAGAGATAAACAGCCCCAGAGAGCAACATGAACTTCCCCCTCTTGCCTTTCTAAAATGCCAACGTGGTTCTTGTATAAATGGCAGGGCCAGGGCTGCAATTCCACATGTTTGATCCGGGGAATGTGATTTTCACACTTACTTGTAGCTGTTAGGCAACGAAGAAGTCAAAACCTTGTTACCACATTAATTGGTTAGTTTGACCCATGTTTTATGGTTATGCAAGATGTTTACATTACGGGAAGCCAGGGGAAGAGTGTATAGGAACTCTGGATTTATCTTGGGAACTTTTCTATAAATTAAAAACAGTTTCACAATGAGTAGTTAAAAAAAACCTTGCAGCACTGAAGAGTCGGTAAAGCTGTTATCAGCCAGGGGACTGGGCCCGGGGCAGGTCTGCTGCAGGACGGCCTGGAGTGTGTGGGTTCTTGACTTTATGCAGGAAAGAGTTCAAACAGGAGTCCAGGTGATTTGGGGAGGATGTTCATTAAAGTCGCAGACAGTGAAACAAAGGGAGGGCTTAGGAGAGAAGAAGCAACAGGAGAGAGTCTCGGTGGGGCTGCTTTGGCTCATTGAGAAGTCAGAGAAAAGGGGCCTCGGAGACAAGGTTTGGGTGTTAGCCTGGGATGAGCTGCCGCCGCTGCCCACTGCTCCCCTGGTTGCAAGTCTTGTGGGGACTCTTTGAGTTTAGCAGATGTGTGCCTGGGGTGAAGGAGAGAGGGGCAGGGAAGGCGCTCCCAGGAGAAAGAGCATGGGCGAGGGCCTTCATTTTTTGAGGATTTTTTGAGGCTGGGAATCTAAGGGAGGTATCAGGGGAGATCTCGATAGAATATTCGTCAGGTTCGCAGAGGTGCCCTTTGGGGGATT